CTAGAACGAAAAAACCCCTCAAAAAAAAAAAAAAAAAAAAGAAAATGGGCTATTGTCATGATTATAGGAGAAATGCACCGAGTAACTACTGATTTCTTTCTACCTCTTGACTCTCAAGGTCAATACTTAAAGTACCAAAATCATCTCTGGCAAAAGACCTAGGACAGCAGAGAGAAGGAAAAGAGGAAGAACAGAGAGAATGAGGGTGGGGCTGGCATGCCTGACCACCTAACCCCAAATATTTCAGTAATATCAACAACTATGACGTCATGATCTCTTAGAAACTTCAAAGCTCCATGGTATTTTTGTATTTGATAAGTATCTGCGGTTTTTACCTCACCAAATGCTCCTCTGCCTATCACTTTTAAGGACTCGAAATCTTCCAATCCAAGTCTTGTTCTCTTCAAACGAAGAAACTCTGTTTCCTTTCGAGCATGTGCTGATCTCCGGAGCCGTTTCTAATGTGTAAATGGAGAAGGGGGTGATTTTTTAGGTGAAATTCTGAAACTCTGCAAAGTCGTATCTGTGACTTGCCCAGCTGGAAAACGGCCACACTCATCTAGGCTTAAGCTTTCCACACATGAAAGCACCAGAAGAACCCTTAGGGTGTCGCTTCTCCCTCCCCAGGCCTCAGACACAACTAACCCACTCTGAACGGCTGGTGGCTCCGCTGACTATTCTGGCTAACCCACTTCAGCAACCCACTATCCTAACACCTGTGTTGAAAGGGCGATAAACGATCAGCCAACCACCTCTTCTTTTAACCCTTTTCATAAAAAGTGTGTTTTTCTCTATTCCCTCTGGGGGAATGTCACACATCTCAGTTCACTGTACTGGGCTGCTGGGAAAGTCACCCATTTTTACATAGAAAACAGAAAAACAGATCATGATTTTCTCAACAATCTAACATTAGATTTTATTAATATTTTTTTTTTTGAGAGGTTTTTGCCATAGGGAGCGTGCGCTCGCCAGACAGAGACAGAGAGACAGAAAGCAAGAAATCACCCCCCAGGGGGGATGGTCATGCCGCAATCCCTTCTCCATTCTCCTCTTGGGATCTTGGGCGTGCATGCACACGCACCTGGTGTGAGTTTTAAGCCACCGGGTACGGGATGCAAACCATGGTCGACTACGTGGGAGTCCAGCGACATAGCCATTACGCTAACTGCTGGTCCCAGGGTGTATTATTTTTCACCACTGTCCTAGGTTCTGTGATTCATAACTATTTTTGAAGAAATTTCCACTGCCATTTCAGTTCCTTACACAATTCTTGGTTGATTATATTCTCTACTATGTTTTTGGGGACTGGCTCAAAGAGACCAATTTAAGATGGATATTTTGCCTTGATAGTGACTTAGAAATCTGTTGCCCTTCCATGGAGTCTTTTCAGTAAATCCTGTAAGAATGCTATCCTTTACTCTTGTATTCTAATTTGATTTCATCCCTTCTTCTTTTTTGGAATTCTGAATCTAATTAATGTATTACAGTGGTGCTTAGAGAAGTATTTCTCTGCTGGGTACTTAATAATTACCTTCTCCCTCTGCATGAATACCAACATCCAGAAACACACCACCCTCGAGTTGTTCTATGGCTGACCAAACCGTTCCCCTGTGCACCTGTGCGCTATGGCTAACAACCTGTGGGACAGGATACGACCTGCCGGGCTGCATTCACGAGGATGATTTCCAATACTAAATTACCTCTTCATCTTTCAGGCCTTCTTCTTCCATCACTTTTTCTAACTTCTTTTGTCTAAAATACAAAAAGACACACGCAATAATGTTTGAATGGTTAACTTTCTGAAAATTCTGAACAAACAAAATAATGAAAATGACAAAAGCATTTTTCTAAAATGCCTCATTGAAAGAAAAAAAATTATAGTTACTAAGATAATTGAAAAGATCCCCATTCTTCGTTAGGTCTACATTCTGAAAAGATTGTGTAAGATGTAAATGTAACAAAGAATTTTGTTTCAAAATAAAATGTTTTCTTCTCTCTTTTTTCAGTTATTTCCTTCTTAGCAGACCATAAAACAGCTGGTATATGATAACCTCTTTTATCAGGATGTTTCTCTCCCTCTCTCTGACTAAATCTACTTCCTTTATTTTCACATCTTCCTCCTGCCTGCCACAAGCAATAATAATAGTAGTAAACAACAAAGTTGTCAAGGGGAAAAAATGATCAAAAAAGGTAACTGGCACCACTATCAAGACTTAAGACCTTAGGGGCCACCCAGTGGTGTGTGGTAAAGGTGGCTGGATCCCATGCAGCCAACTGTGAGGCCGAGTCCCAATCCAGAGGCATGAAAAACATGTCGGGTGCAGGTATGTGCGTGTCCAAAATCTCAAGAGGAGAATAAAAGAGAAGGGACTACAACGAGGCCATTCCCCACTGGGGGGTGATTTCTTACTTTCTCTCACATTCTGTCTGTCTCTGATTAGCATACACATCCTATTGCAAAAACTAAGGGGAAAAATAAAATAAAAGGAAAGAAAAGAAAAACACACCAGGCACATGTGATGCCCTGTTATTTTCAAGAGGAGAATGGAAGAGAAGGGATTGTGGCATGGCCATCCCTCCTTGAGGGTGACTTATTTTTTCTCTCTCTCTCTCTGTCTCTCTGGCAAGTGCATGCACCCTATAACAAACAAAAAAGGG